CTGTTGGGAGGCATCCTAAAACTTGAGGCCTCCTCTGGCTCAAACTAATTCCAGTACCAAGACTTCACAAGTCAGAGCTGCAGTGGGAGAGGGGAGGTCAAACACCATAGCCCAGACGCCCATGCAGCCTAGTGCACACAGTACCTTCCTTGCCCATGTCCTGTCTCCCAGGATCCCACTTCATCCATCATCACTGAGTAAAATAGGAAATACCCAGACTTGCTGTAGTCGTTGTTTTTCTTGTTTTTGTGATTAAAGCAAAAAGTAAGCCAAAGAGAAAAGGGTTTCTCTGGCTCCAGTTCAAGTACAGTCCGTCACGGTTGGGAAGGTGTGGTGGCAACAGCTTGGGGCTGATGTTTATATTGCATCTGCCATCAGGAGGCAGAGAAGCCTGAGACCATGACATTAGAACCTCAGGTAGGTCATTTCATTCCATGCTTCTCTGTCTGGTCATGTACATGCTGAATAAATGAAGAGACTTAGACCTGGAGTCTGAATGGATGATCAGGGGCAGGTGGGATTCAAGAGGCCCTCTTGCCTGGCTCAGGTCACCAAATCGCCAGACTGGTGATACTGCCCAGTCTGTAAGGCTTCACAGGTCAAAGCTGGACTAGAGGAGACGACCAGAACTCCGGTCCCTCTCACTAAGACATAGATACCTAGAAAACCACACTTTTCAGATGCCTTGAACCTGAAACACCGGTAGGCATATAACCATAGCAACTGTGGTGGTCTGGAGTCAAGTGCCAGGTCTTATTACCTAGAGGTAGCTGGGAAGGACAGTAGCTCTGCCAGCCTGGCACATGCTAGAGGCATCTGTAGTTGTAGCAACCCAAAGGCTCTGTTCTTTTGGCTTCCCACACTGGTACTGTCTGGATGCTTCTGGGAGCCTCTAAGGCCGGAGAGGAGGCCTGAGTACTGCTGACAAGAGGGTGGGATGCTGGCCAGTTTAAAAAGGGAAAACATGATCTGGAAGTGTTTAAAGGAAGAGAAGTAATTATACCTGTTATATGTATATTCAAAAGGCTTGGCAGCTTGGAACTAGGGCCCGGATCTGCCATTTCTTCCGATTTCCTGTAATTTCCCCTGCTATTGTCCAGGGCTCCCTGAAGCAGCTCGCCCTTCTCCCAGATGGTCCCGTCTCCTCAACAGCTGTTGGTTCCCAACCAGCCCTGCCAAAAGACTCACTTTAGGCCAAGGAGACTAGTGAAAGGGGGTGGCTCCTACTCTTAGGGAGCACTAAGCATTGACATCAGGGGTGACCAGGGTCACCTTGCTGGCCACAATGCACCCCTGGGCTGCAGAGACTTGACAACAGGCAGCTGGTAGCTGGGTAGCTGCATGGGGACTCCTGAGGGCAGAGGTGTCTGCCACATGAGATCCAGGGCATCAGGGGCCAATTCATTGTGTGGACCTTGAGATTCTCTTTGTCCAGAGCCTATCTCCAGGTTGAGCAGCCCTAACCATCCAGACCTCCTCAGGGTCTGTCCTCAAGACTGCGCAGTCCACAGGTCTCAAGACTCTGGACGTGCTCTGTAAAAGCAAGACTCCACTGACAACAGCAAGAGCCCCTGAAGAGATGGATTCAAGGGCTGAACTCGAGCAGGACACCTATGCGACAACGAGACACTTCCCACTGGGCTGTAACCAGAGGGTATTGTTCGGTCATGTCCTTAGCTGCAGCTATGTTCACCTCCCAAAGTGGCAATATGACTCATGTGACCTTTAAAAAAATGAATCTGAGCTGGTGGTGGTCTGGGAGGCAGAGGTAGGTGGATCTCTGGGTTTGAGACCAGCCTGGTCTATAGAATGAGTTCCAGGATAACCAGGGCCACACAGGGAAACCTTGTCTTGAAAAAACAAACAACAACAACAAAAAAAACCCTACCACTACCACCAACAAAAACAGACTGGAAAATGGTCCTAGGTCGGAGACATGTGCTCAGGTACCATGGCTGATTGGGTACCAGCTAATGGGGTACTTTTTTTTTTTTTTTTTTTTTACCTCCGCTGACACTCTTAGGTGCTTAGATACAAGATGAATGAGCGCTAAGGAGGCAGGGATATCAGCAGTGACTCCTGGTCCCTCCCAAGGCACAGCATACAGAGCACAGGGCAGGAAGCATATTGACAGTTGGATGTCTCTACAGAAATCACACAGGACCTCCGAGCTGCTGTGTGCCAAAGAGTATCTAAGAATGTTGAAGCTTCCTTCTCTTGGTGGCTACAGTTCCTCAATGAGTTACTCCTGTCTTGTGACAAGAGTGAGCTCAGGACCTGAAGGTTGGCTGTGATGCTGATCAGTAAGGCTTCTCTCCCACTCCAGTGTGGCCTTTAACTCTTCTCTCTCACAAGGAAGGAAGTGTCCTTCTTTCATTACCTGGGTTTCACCAGTAACAGGGTCTGGGGGCAGCCATTCATTCTCTCCAGCCCAGTCACTGAGAAAGTCGGAGTTGGACCAGCCAGTGCATTAAAAGGCTGACAATACAAAGACCCTTTTCAAAAATAACTGTTTTGACAGAGGGCCTGTAGGATGAGGTGATTAAGGGCAGGGGCACACATCTGGCCATACCTCTGCACCTGTGGGGCCCCTACCAGGTGTAACCACCCATTTCCTGTATAACCACCCCTGGACCAGTTTCCAACCAAGAGGGTCCTTCAAGACAGTGCTGTTTATTTGACTGTCCAGCTCTTACCCATAATGAAGCTCTCTCTAGCTCTGTCTCACCCCTCACCTCTCCACTGCTCCGCTGTGCTTCAAGCAACCTGAACCTCTAAAGGTCAGACTGAAGGATGGAGCCAGGCAGATCTGTGCTGCTTCATGCAGGGAATGCCAACTACGTGGACTCCCTGTGCCTCCGGAGGCAAGGGGTGGTCCACAAGCATAGACAGCTTCAATTTGAAGCTGAGCTTGCATTTCCCTGCTGCAGGCTGTGGAGAGGATTGAAGGGTGTGGGGAGTGGTAGTGATCTGAGATGGAAGGTCCCCACATTTGAATCTTACCATCTGTTGGGCTGTGTCCCCTGGGACTGTGAGGAGGGAGGCTGGTGTGTGTCTTTGTCTCAATCTGGTTCCCAGGTTGGCTCCAAGGTGGCAAGTTTCATTTCTTGCCACTGACCTGCTGCCTGAGGCCCCATTCACATGCCACTGCTATGTCCCACCCCTGGAATGCCCTGGCTCTGGGCCCCTTCCATTCACTCTGCCACCAGGCTACTGAGTTTGGTAGGAACACAGGGGCCCTCCACTTCTAATCCACACAGCATGAAAAAGACCCTACTGCTGTTGGCACCACCCTTTCTAGGAAATTGGAGGTGTAAAAGATTTGTTTGATTGACATCCTGTCAGAATACTAAAAACTGTCGCAAAAGCCAAGCACTTATGGGTGCCGATGCTATCGTGCTTTGAAGGTCCCTTGCAGTAAGCCTATATTGGAAATCTCTGGTCCTAGGGTGTCTGTTGAGAATTCCAGAGAGAAGAGGACACACTAAAACTCACAGCTTGGGCCTCCTGACAAGGAGCCCAGGACATACAGCTGAAAAGGGTACTTTGCCTCGAACTCTGGTCTTATCCTAATCCTGGGTTTGCCTTCTTTCAGATGAGCTTCCCTCTAAAGAAACCCAACAGGAAGAAGAGACCTGAGGGTTGAGGTCCTGGTAGAAGCACTGTCCTCAGGGGCTGGCTTTACATTTAGATGCAAAACCCAGTGTGACTCACGCTCTTCTTCCCATTCACCCAGCTCTGAGCTGTCTCCTTTCAAAGCCCAAGTTACAGCCCTAACCTTGCTGACCAGCTCCAGGGCAGGCCTGTCTCCTGGGCACCAGCACACACTGCTCACAGCCAATCCAGAAGTCCCTTTTTGTAAACAGAACACAGGATGTTTCCAAGCAATTAGGAGCCAGCAGGCTTTAGAAGAGGGCCGTATAAAACAAGAGAAACTTGTTCATTCCTGTTGCATTGCACAGCCAGCCACACACTTACATCAAAGTGTAGCCCGACTGCAGGTCCTTGGACGCCCTGGTATCCTTCATCCTACAAGTGGCCACCCAGTCACATGCTGCCCTCACTGAACTGCTTTGCCTGGTGAGTGGCTATTTGCCCTAGCACTATGGCTGTGTGGTGGGTTGCAATTGGCAGCAGTCAGACACCTGGGGAGTATGCCAGCTGCTACCAGGCTGCAGGCTGACCCTAACTCTGCTGAAGACGAGGAAACCACATCCATGAGGACTTCCTCTGTCAACAAAAAACACACAGAACCAGTGTTGAGACAGTGCTCTGTTCCTGATCCTCAAAGTGTGGACGCTGCCAATGTGTGCCATTCAAAGTGCATGGTTCTATTTCAGCTCTGATCCACATTTTAAAGGGTGGTAGGTAGTTTGGTGACTGATGAGGTACTGCACTGAAACCAGACCAGAATATTTACCAGTGTTTTCTCAGGGCTTCACCCTGGAGATCGGATGAGAATACTCATCTTCCTCTGCCTAACACACAGAATGAACACGGGAAATGGGCAGATGGACTCCTGTAGCAAGACAAATCACAAGTGTCACACTACACCCAGGGTTTTAGCGCCATCAGGGAAAGATCAAGCACGTGGACTCTCAGGGATGAAGTCTGTGCTGTCATGCTAGCCACCATGGCTGAGGTCTCTGGGCAGTGGCTCAGCATCTACTGCTGGCAACACTGCCATGCCTGCTATGTGGGTTTTCAGGGGCAGCAGTGCCATCCAGCCAGGGACAGTAGGTAGAGCCAAGATAAAGACGCTTTCTTTCTCTTTAACCCTCTCAAGGGGCTTACAAGCTACTCAAACCACCAAATTCCAGAGCTGGCCCACTTCAGAAGGGGAGGGGGAGGGGCAGCAGGCAGGTAGGTGGCAACAGCAGTAAGGCCAGCTTTTCTGGAAGATCAAAGTGTTCTCTTCTGTACTGTTTAATATTGACCTGCTCCCAACCATGTTCTGTGCATGCCTGAATGGAGCCCAGTGCTACTAGGGAACTGAGTGCTAAATTTCATTAAGTTTTAATTAAGTTAAATGTAAGTTACATGTGCTCAGAGGAGTCACAGCAGGGTCTCAGTACAAACTCATAGCTTAGGACAGACAACTTAAAGGAACTCCGGAACAGCAATGCAGGCTGACACCAGTTCATAAGGATTACTCCCCCAGGTTCCATACAGGTGAACAGTAAGACGCCACTGCTCTTTTCACTTGGGACTGGCACCCTTATTTTGGATAACGGCATCTGTACCCATATTCTATGCTCTTGCCCTTCAGAGATAAGAGTATGGAGGCCCCGTGGGCGGCCAAGGAGTGAGCCTGCTCTAAGACACAGTTCTGCTAGTCTGTGGTCATTCTTCTTTCCCTTTTTGCTCAAATGTGCTGTTAAAAGAACAAATGCTTCAGAAACATGCTTCAACACTGTGGGAGACCCAAACTGCAGGGGAGGGCTAGAGGGGCGGGCTGGAGGGGAGGGCTGAGCATCCTCAGCCACCAGGCACAGGTGTGCCATGCAGACACAGGAGGAGGAGCTACAGAGCGGCTTTGTTTCTTCAAGTTGGGAGGGCTCAAGGAAACAGCACTGGGACACGATGGGGCTTCCAGTGGGAGCTGGGCTTTCAGCAGACCAGCTGAAAGCAACTTTGTTTTGTTTTTTTCCCCAGATGATTCCAAACCAACACTAGAAGGTTCCAGAACCTTTTCAGCGGAAGCTAATTCTTTCAACTTTGACTAGGTATGGGTCAGACTCTTTTTGTTAGATCATTTTTTTTTTCTGGCAATTTCTTGATCATTTGCTTTTTTCCTGCTGTCTTGTAAGGCTCTGGAGCTCACAGAGTTGGGCAGAGCAGATATCTTCATGTGACACAGCTAGGCAGAGGGGACCATTCACTTCAGCCAGATCCACTTGTCCCCCACTTCGGCATTGTACCCAGGGGCGTACATGCGGCCTGGCAGCTGTTGGGGAGAAGGCATTAAAACACTGTTTAGAGAAAAGACCACTTTCCCGACCCCCAGAGTTGGTCAGTTACCACCCATCCAGTACCAGGGACACCCGGGAACAGGGATCCATTGTAATGAAGCAGCCTTGCCCACAGAAGTCCTGTTCAGGACAGAGATCCAGATAGAGACAGACCCCCTAGCTGATTTTTTTATTTTGTATGATGAGCAGGAGGGACAAGAAACCAGGGGCACTCAGTGATAGTTGGTGGAGGAAGCTGGGCCCAGAAAATGCCTTGTTCTTAAGCCCTGACTGCCTGCGTGACTGGTGTGAATGAGACATTAGGTTAGCTTTGGGAACCAGCGATGAACTCATTCTGAGAGGCCACAGTCGGAGCTCTCTGGCTTCTGTGACACCATCCATATGGACTCATCAGGACTCCTCCTGGTTATCCTGCTATTGCCCTGAATCATGGAGATTCTGCAGCTGTGGAACACCAGGACTGGCCTTTTCATGTACCCCAACCAATGGCAGATGATATGGACTTAGGGGTGGGCGAATTCAGAGCCTGAGTTTGGGCTTGGGTAGCAGCCGGGCTGTCAGCCCATCAACTCCCCTTTGTCCGCACCACCGAGCGAGCTCTCCTGCTCTCAAGCCTTTGGCACCAGCTTACCAGCACAGCCAGCTCTACTGCGCTGCGCAGTCAAGCTCGGCTCTCCCGAGTGTGCAGCCTGTGAGAGACTGGCTCACCAGTGCCTTTGCCATCTCGGGCCAGCTCCACTGGAATGCCCAAGGGAGCTACAGTTTAACTCCTCCCTCTCCCCAGTGATACAGCCAGTGAGGGAGCAGGGCTAGCTGTCCCACTTTCATGACCCCAGGGTCTAGCTCTCCCCACTGCTACAGATGGTGAGGGGCAGAAGTGAAACAGGCATAACCTCCACCCCCACATCACCTCACGACAGTGAGTGGCAGGACCAGCTCTCCTGAGACCACCGACTCACTGCAATGGACATTTACAAGTGAAGATGTGTGGACAGAGGGACATACTGTGGGACAAACTGTGACACACTACAGCTTCCATGATAAGACGTTTCTATGCTTTTTGTTGTTGTTGTCTTTGTGTGTTTCGTTTTGGGGGGAGGTGTAGCAGGATATCTTCCCACTACACTTGTATAAAGCCCGGCGATAGAGGTGTATGAGAGGTAGGCGGAGTGAGGAGAGGTAGAGGAGAAGGAGGAGGAGGAACTAAGAGAGGGAGGAGAGATGTAGGAGCCATGGAGAACCGTGCACGGGTCCAGGGCAGTCCTGGGTTAACGATTTATATCATAAGGTTAGATATTGGGAAACAACTCTAATTGTGTGGGCAAACTGTTAACTGAGCATTTCTAACTATATAACGCCATTGGATATTAATTATGCTTTAGAGTATCATTTCTACTGGGTACCACGTGGATGGCTGGATGGTCTGGGCTCAGCCAAGCATCTCGTGGGTGCCCGGGTCGGTGCTTCGGCCTGAGCTGAGCAGTGGTGGAAGCATGCTGCTGCTCATGGCCTCAGGCCTTGCCTAGTTGGGAACATGGCAGCCCCGTTAACAACAAGCCAGATTGGGTGCCACCGTTTTTACTATTAACCGCAACAGGGAGGCTGCAAGACTGAAGACTGGGTACATAAGAGGGGACGAGTGGGACTGGGGGCATGATGCGAAACTCACGAAGAATCAATGAAAAGAAAAAAGCTATTGAATTACTCATGAATTTTCTATACTTATTAACTGATGGCTCCCACAAGATCACCAATACTCAAAATATTTGAGGAACTAACTTCTTCTTTTGGTGTCTTAGCTAATATTAATTTAAGAACCAAAGAAAAATTCTGAAAAGTTTTTCAGTCAATGGTTTATTTTGCAATATATCCATCTGAACCTTCTGGGGGATAGATTTTTTTCAGAATTCATTATTGTAACTCCTTCAGATCATCTTTGTGAGTTTCAGCAGTCTGTTGTGTGGGTAACCATGTATTCAGAGATGTGTACTGTGGTTTCCTGTCCTGTACTGAGTTTATTTTTTCCTTTTTAAGAAAAAACAAAAAAAGAGGCCATGGTCCCCAGGGCCTTGGTTTGGAAGGAATACATAAAGGGAGTGTGACCTTACCATACCTGGGAAGTACAGGCAGGTAAGGGAGCCAGCAAAGGGCTGGGGGCATGGAGGACGCAGACAAGGTTAGGCCTTGGGAAGCCACTGAAATGCCCAGGCCTGAAGAAACATCAGCAAGAAAACTACTCTGGAAGCAAGGAAGCCATGGGAGAGCCTCTGGAGCTGTCACTGGGCTGGAAGGATGGAGAGCTCAGCCTCCCTCTGTCAGCAGCTTTGTCCTTCCCTAGCTGATGGCACAGACAAGAGCCCAGGTATGCACAGCCACAGAGCTCAGAAAGAACTCCTGACAAGTGAGGCCTGTCTATCATGGCAGGAGGATGCACTACACAGCCACAAGGGCAGTCTATCAGTACACGGCACGAGGGCAGAGGTAGCAGCAAGAAGCTTGCCTGCAGAGAAGGTGGTGTGTCTAGAATGGCCTCAGGCAAGACACACAGGTACAGTGTGTGGGAGAAGCCCAGGCAGAACAGCCACCGAAACACAGAGCTTCTCCAACTGCCATCCAGCTGAGGAGGTCACTTCTCATTTGTTGAACAAATCCTCACAACTATGTCTGATGAACAGAATACATACACCCTTTAGAGGATTATACCTACACTGACTGTCACTGCAAACAAGGCACCCCTACCCATTGTGTGCAAGTTGACTGTGGCGGCTTCACCAAGGTCCAGTTGGGAGCTTGAGAGGCAGTGGCAACTGTCATCTTGTATATACTAAGTGAAGCTACTGAGGTCTGGATTACACCAGTGGCCAGTTGGCCAGCATGGCCTGGGACCTTCAACCACCATTGTCCTGAATTTTAAACTACAGCAAATAAAAACTAGCTGAAGACCACCAACCTGCTGAGCCTCACCAATGTCTCCTAACTGCTTCACAAAAGCCACTCTCTGGAATTCTTTGGGCCATTTACTTGGCCTACAAAATCCAGTGAGGAGTGCTCTGTCCTCAGGTTTCTGGGAGAAAGCACAGCACTTGAACAAACATAAAAGCCTCCTAAATTCCCAGTATCTAACTGTGTGCTTGTCTGTAGGCTGGAGGCCATGCTGAATCTAATCAATTAGTTCTTTGGGAGGTTGCAGAGGAAGCCCAAGATCCAGCTGCCTCAGAGGAGGGCCCCAGCAGCTCAGGACACTCTGCTGTGCCTCTTCGATGCTACAGGATGCACACATACTTCTGTTTTCAAATGGAGTAAGTCACTTGCCTGAAGCACACAGCTAGCTATTCCATCTACAGAGCAAGAACCAGCCCCTCCTCAAACACAAGTACAAGAGAGATCTCAGTCTCCCAACTCTGGAGTGGGTCCTCCACTCAAGTCCCTAGACGACTCATCTACTCAGCCCAGTCTGAGGGTGGACCTGTGCTGCTGAGCCCTGCTGTTTCCAGCCCCCATTCCACCTTACAATGTTTCCCCTTGCTGCGTGCATAGGATAAACTCCCAGAAACAGAACTGCTTGCTGAAGCAAATCAGCCTGAAGAGCAGGTGTGGAAAGCACCCCCGCCATGGGTTTAACTCGACAGTATGGAAGAGCTGGTCTGGATTACTGTGCGGAGGCTTAGGCAAGGGCGTAGACTCAGCACCGTCTTTCCTTAAAAATCGAACCATAATCTTGGTCTTCTAGGACCTTCACTGGGATCAGCAAACTGGCTTCACTTCACCCCTGGTCCACTGACTGTTACTGCAAACAAGGCACCCCTACCCACTGTGTACAAGTCGGCAGTGGTGTTTTCACCATGGTCCTACTGGGCGCTTGAGATGCAGTGGCAACTGTCATCTTGTGTATACCAAGTGAAGCGACTGAGGCCTGGATTCAAGTAACATGAAGGAATGGGGTTCTGAGTCGTAAAAAGTGGCTCCTCTACAGCCACAGCCAGTTTGAGTGTAGAATTCAGTCTTCAGCATGGACCCCCACACCCTGTACTGACCATATACTGGACTTGGGTCAATTTGTAACACAGCAGCCTCCAGGCCCTGGACTACAGTATTGGGGCCTGAGAACTTGAGACCTGCCAGACTAACTATCATCAAGTACCAGTAGCTTCCCAGCTGGAAAGCTGAGACCTACACCCTATCTGACTTTGAACAAGCCAAAGTGTAGAAAGTCTAGGCAGAGAAAGAGCTCCAAAATTTGTTACAGGGCCACTGGTCTTTGGCTGAAGACAACGTCCATGCTAGGCTGGACAAAGAGCCTCCAGGAACTGTGAGCAGAATGAATCCATGGCTACTGACAAAAGGCTGTGGGTTCCCAGCAGCTCCTCCTCACACACAAGCACAGGGATCTCAGGCCATATTGTACCCCAAGAAGGGATGCTAGAGGCACTGGAGAGCTGGAATTCAGTGCTGGCAGGCTTAATGCTGATGTGCATGTAACTGCACTGCAGCCAGAAAACTTCTAACATTTGTCTCAGAATAGAACAAAATCTAGCATTCCAAACCATGAAACTCACAATGTATTGCAGCCAGTGATACATTTCCAGACATGTGCAAGTGGAAAATATGACCCTAAACCAGAGGGAAAATCAGGCTGACTCTGAAATGACGAAGACAATGAATTAGTGAACAGGGATATTAAAGCATCTATTAGGAAAGTGCTTGGTATGTTCTGGGAACAAAATGACAGATGACAGAAATAAGGGAGAACTGGAAAACAGAAAGGACCAGGCAGGAGTTCTGAGTGTAACAATAAGATTCCTGAAGTACAGTTCTACCGGATGGGCGTAGGAGTCATGCACATGTGCTATGTGGGGCTATGAAGGACTAGCCCTTGGGATTCACTGCCCATGGCAAGCCACACCCTCACTGTCAATGCTGGTGCAGAGTAGTGCCAGTCTGCTTTGTGGCCACAGGCTTTTCCCAGAGGCACCCT